TGAAATTAATTTTTATTAATTAATATTTAAAAGTCCTGTAGAAGATTCACATGAAATGTATTTATTTCAAAGACAAAGTAACTCAGTTTAAAGTACTTTAAAGAAAAATATTAATAAGTATTTTTAAGTTGAAGATTTACATGAAACACATTTGGAAGACAAAATAACCTTGTTTTAAAAAAAAAAAAAACATTTTTATTAATTAATATTATAAAACAGAAAACATTTATTTGAAAAACAAATTAGAGTTAATTTGTTTTTCAAATAAATGTTTTCTATTTCTTTACACAGAGTTAAGAAATAAAAAGCAATTTTTACTAATATTGTAAAGTAGAAACTTCAGATAAAACACATATAAAGTAACTAAATTTAAAGAAAAAAATTAATTTAGATTTTAAAGTAGAAACTTCACGTGAAACAGATTTGTTTTGTGCATAATTATCAGGTGCTTTTGTAGCCGAGTTATTTGTTAATAAAAATTGCTGTTTTGTTTACTTTTTTTAATAAAAATATCATTTTATTTTCGGGTTATAAAAATACATGTCGATAATCACATGCTCTGGAATAATCACTTAAAAATGTTATTATTGAATTGTTATGTTTCTTTTTTCATAATAAGTATTGTTTAAAAAACGCCTGATAATTATGCACCACCCCAAAAACTTTAATAAACTTTATTTGAAATACCCAACTTTAAAAAACACAAAAATATACAAAGTAAATAATAATCTAAAATTAAACAAATTAAATAAAATAATAAATAAGTAAATAAAATAATAGATGCAATATGAAAGCAAATTCCTGTTACGTTATTTACAGTCAAAGAAAGTACGCTGATACTGCATTATTATGGACCTCTCTTTAAGGGATATTGGAAACAATGGACAAAATCTGGAGCATCTGACTCAGTTTGTTAAAGTTTAAAAATTAGTTTAATTATTTACATTGATTTATTAATTACAGGGTACAATTGTCACTATTTAATATTTTTTAATTTTACACATGTACGTTGTTTGTTTTTGATTTTGCTGACTGCCGAGTATAGTTGGGTCAGTTGGGTACCATCTGTGAGAAAAAGAGCACTATTTTATACAAGATCAGAAGAAAGATCAGTTGCCAATCTCTGATCATCAAGTGTTTCAAAGGTGCACCTTTATATAGTCGTATCATTGGCATTGATGTTTACAAATGATCTGAATATATTCTCAGGCAGATCATTTATGTAGATCAAAAAAAGTGTTGGTTCAAGGAGTGACCCCTGGGGGATGCTTGCATTGACCTCCAGGGCTCCAGATAACTACCTGTTAGGAAGGATTTTATGATCAAGAAGAGACCCTTCCAGTGATTCCATAACTAGAGGGCTTGTGTAGTAAGCCTTTGTGTCCCACCTCGTCAAAAGCTCTTGGGATATCTAGTGCTATGGTCCTCAAGGTGAGTTTGTCATTAAGAGCATCACTGATTCTGTGATTAATGGTAGTTAGGACATTGACAGTGGATTGGGCCAACCAAAACCCATACTGCTCGTCACTGAAAAGCTTGTTCTTTTCTAGGTACTCAATGACCTTATTGATTATGGCTTCAAAAAGCTTGATGATGATACTGAGGGGTCTGTATCAGGAGAGGGAAGATTGCACGCCCATGTTCTTGAAAACCAGGCATATGGTTGATACTTTCCACAGGTTTGGGAAGGATTTCTCCTTCAAACAGCAGCTGAATAATTTTGCGAGGATTGGGGATAATTCTAGGTTGATTTTCTTAAGGACAACCACTGGAATTTTGTTTGGACCAGTGGCTTTCTTAGGGTGAAGACATTTGATAAGTCTAGAGACCTTGTGCTGTGATGGTAATATTACTGAGATTGCGTTTAGTGAGACTTGGAAACTTGGAGAGGGGATGGTCATTGTCATCTAATGTTGAGTTCGAGACAAAGATAGAGGCAAAGAGATTTGCCATATCTGTTGAGGAATTTATAATTGTTGGTACAGCTGCTTTACCTCTGTTCATGATTTGGTTGGTGATCTTCCAGAATTCATGGGATCCAATTTGTTTCTTTTCAATCTTGGTCTGGACTGCTTGTGCGTATCAGCACTTGGCATTTTCTAAAACTTTTTTGCAGCAATTGCAGACAGTTCTGAATGCAATGAGGGCCAAACTACTTTGCTCCTTGTGATAGATATTGAAGTAGCTGTTTCCAGTTATGGCTGTGAGACAATTTCTGCAACCACATGACCCCTTACATCTGGCCACCTAACATCCTAGACTGTAACTCCATTGATTATTATGTGTTGGTTGCAGTTGAGTGAGAAATCAATAAAACTTCTTGTAATACCAAAGATGAACTGAAGGCAAGGATTATGGCAGCATTCACCAGCTTAAACAAGGAGACTGTCTAGAAGAGTTTCAGGATATTCCAATGTTGTCTGGAGGCCCTGGTTGAAGCCAATGGTGATTTTATTGAATAAATTTACTCATTAGTATTTCAAGGTATTTTTGCGCAATTTTGGTAAACATATCTGTCAAAATGAGATGCCAGTGTTATTTTCAGTTTGGCATCATTTATACGACAATTTAACCATCGCACCCTGTATATTTCTTAGAATGAGATAGTTATTTTTATTTTGGCATCATTTATATGACAATTTATTCATCACACTTTGTATATCTGCTAAAATGAGATATCAGTGTTATTTTCATTTTTGTGTCATCTAGACGACAATTTAACCATCGCACCCTGTATATTTGTTAAAATAAGACGTCAGTGTTATTTTCAGTTTGGCATCATTTATACGACAATTTAACCATCGCACCCTGTATATTTCTTAAAATGAGATAGTTATTTTTATTTTGGCGCCATTTATACGACAATTTATTCATCGCTCCCTGTATATTTCTTAAAATGAGATAGTTATTTTTATTTTGGCATCATTTATACAACAATTTATTCATCACACTCTATATATCTGTTAAAATGAGATGTCAGTGTTATTTTAATTTTTGTGTCATCTAGACGACAATTTATCGATCTCTCCCTGTATCTGTTAAAATGAGATGTCAATGTTATTTTCATTTTTGTGTCATCTAGACGACAATTTATCCATCGCATCCCGTATATCTGTTAAAATGAGACGTCAGTGTCATTTTCAATTTTGCGCCATTTAGACGACAATTTATCAATCGCACCCCGTATATCTGTTAAAATGAGACGTCAGTGTCATTTTCAATTTTGCACCATTTAGACGACAATTTATCCATCGCACCCCGTATATCTGTTAAAATGAGACGTTAGTGTCATTTTCAATTTTGCGCCATTTAGACGACAATTTATCCATCGCACCCCGCATATCTGTTAAAATGAGATGTCAGTGTTATTTTCATTTTTGTGTCATCTAGACGACAATTTATCCATCGCACCCCGCATATCTGTTAAAATGAGATGTCAGTGTTATTTTCATTTTTGTGTCATCTAGACGACAATTTATCCATCGCACCCCGTATATCTGTTAAAATGAGACGCCAGTGTCATTTTCAATTTTGCGCCATTTAGACGACAATTTATCCATTGCACCCCGCATATCTGTTAAAATGAGATGTCCGGGTTATCTTCATTTTTGCATCATTCAGACGACAATTTATCTGTCGCACCCTGTATATTAACGTATCTTTACCACATTTGCATAAACACTTGGTACATGAAAAAAAAATTTTTTTTTTCTATCTTTTCAGGATATCCACCCGAGAATACTTGCAAAAACCTCACTGATCTTCAGATCTCAGAATATACACAAGATGATGAGAATTTATCCCTCAACTATGGCTCATGCACTATTGGCATTTACAATAATTCTATAAACAGTTCTTTTTATCACCAAACATTTCCTTGTATTAACGGTTATACATATGATGAACCTTTACATACGTCTATTGTAACAGAAGTGAGTATGCATTCTTCATTAATTTTAATAATCATAGCTTATATTTATTATTTATCAGATTAAACTTCAGTCTTGTATTATTTCATCCCAGAACTTTGACTTTCTGAGACTACAATTCTAATTCTGGTAGTTAAAAATGTGTAATAAAAAAAAGATTGTATGATGTAACGGTTAAAAAGAAAATAAAGTCAATTCTGTATTCATTTCATAATATAATTTTTCATTTTGTCAATTTGATATTCATTTTTTTTATATAATTTTTCATTTTGTTAAACAATCTGCAATGACAAAAAAGTGTAGGTATAACTTATCTGAACCTTTATTCAACTTAAAATTCTAATTGTAGTAGTTAAAATTTGTAATAAAAAACGATTATATGATGTAATGGTTAAAAAAATAGTAAAGTCAATTTTATATTCTTTTTTTTTATATAATTTTTCATTTTGTTAAACAATCTGCAATGAAAAGACAGATGTAGGTATAACTTATCTGAGGCTTTATTCGACTTATAATATAGTGCGTCCAAGATGGGCTTAATTAAATAAAGAAAATGTGGAAGGGGAGATAATCCATGCACCACCACCAAGATCATTCTATTAAAAAGAAAGACCAAGAAATATTTGACCTGTTTTTTTTTCATTATAATTCACTTTATTAAATAAGAGTGTGAAATGCAGTATTCAATTCAGAAAGAAATTCTATGAATTCATTCAATCTGTTTTAAATATAGACATAGCAAAGAACTTACTCCACTTTATTCACTTAGGCATTTTTCTGAGTTACTTCCCAGCAAAATAATAATGGCAGTAGTTATAAAAACACTGACTTTCCATAAGCATAAACACACAAAGTGACTAGTAAAGACTAATGAGTAACAATATGGCCACCTGTTTACTTTTATATAGTTAAGAAATACAAATTGCAACACAAAAATAATTTCCATTTGTAAGTTTATATAAAAACATGTATTTTTTTATGTGAATTATTTCTTTTTTATTTTTAAAAATAATTTGACAATGACTTTTTTTCTTTTTTTTACAGTGGGACCTCGTGTGTTCAAAGGCAGGAATGGGAGAAATGACCCAGTCGCTTTTTATTGCTGGTCAGGGCGTTGGCGCTCTGCTTTTCCCATCTCTGGCTGACCATTTTGGACGAAAACCTATCCACATCCTCAGCCTTTTCATTATGATGCTTTCAGCATTGATCTCATCAGTTGCACCAAACTATTGGGTATACGCACCAACCAGATTCTTTTGTGGAGTCTGTCAACAGGTACTTATCTTCCCTTTCTTTTTATTTACTCTAGAATCGTCAAACTTAATGTGAGGGGTCTATCTTTTAACTTTCCAGAGGTGAAAGTCAATTTTCTCAAGGTCAAACTTGACCTCTACTTCCTGTCTGAAACTGGTATCAATCTATCTATCCTAGTACAGGAATTTCCAATCCTGAACTACCGACTATAGGGAAACATGACTATTGAAATCGATACAGGCACAAATTTGATGCCTGCATAAAGGACAAATTTGTTGCAGATTGACGAATATATTTTGTATATCCGAAGGTTAGGTTATAAGAAGGCTTAGAAATGTAGGTGTTCACAAGACATTCATCCACAATAAATATAAAAATAAGAACATTGAAAGGTAAAAATCATTCCGGAGGAATCAAAAATGAGGACAACGTGATTAAAGGTTTAACAAATAACATTCATTTTTATATCAATTGAACATACACAATCAAGATAGATATTGCTGATCAAGTGCAACCAGTTATAATAAAATATGTAGAAGGATTATGCTGAGTTTCAATGTGTGTAGGCTTGTGGTTAGGATTTGTGTATGAAATTAAACAAGATGTTTTATCGTATTACAAAATGTATTTTGTGGGAGTTCAGTCACTAGTGTGTAAGTGTGTGTTTGTTAAAGTTACTGTTTAAAGTTTGTAAGAGTTGTGTACCTTTAGCTGTTGTCTTGATGTTGGATTGAGATTTACAAATACTGTTTAGTACTGGGTCAATTCATTTTCTTTAGTATGTTGTAAGTAATGTTCCTGAGAGATCGAAGTGCTGTTTATCGAGTCAGAAGAATTAGCACGCGAAAAGTGTAGTTAGGTCAAAGTTTTGGCTAGCATTGATTTGTTTAGCATCTCTCCAGGGTTGAAGTTCTGACTGTTCAAATTGAATCGAAACACTTCTATTTATTGAGTTTGTGGTCTCAGAATTGGCTCCATGAGCGGTACACGGGGAAAGGTATTTTTGTTCAAACTTGCTACAGTTTTAAGGTCTCAGCCAATGAAAAACCTAGTTTGCTGAAACTAAGATGCTGATTGGTTAAGACGTGATTATGCGTAAAAAATGCATTATACTGAAGGGTTGACAGGTAGGTATGGAATATTCCATCAGGTTCATATGTAGCAGAAACTCCAAAAACAAGTACCCTGATTTCCTTTTTATTTGCTTCCAAGCTTAATCTTCAGTCTCTATTCCCAATATAACAGTTCTTTACACAAACTTCCAAGACATCTTTCTCACATCCTACCCTGGGAAATGCTCTGATGAAATGTTACCTGCCATGGACACTTCAGACCATTTACTAATCAGTGTTAAAGTTTATGCCAAAGAGTTGTTACTCCACTTGAATAAAACTGATGAAGAATGTAGATACTGCTAAGACTTAGCCATTGCTTACAAACTGATATGGGTCATTGATAAGCCGACTCTTATTCCCAATATAGCAGTTCATCACACAAACCTCCTAGACTACTTTCTCACATTCTACCCTGAAAAATGCTCTGCTGAAGTGTTACCTGCCATGGAAACTTCAGACCAATCAGTGTTAAAGTTGATGCCAAACCAAAGGCATTACCAGACATGCAGTTTCATGGAACAATTATTTGGTACACCAAAGATGACTGGGAAAGCTTCAGATCTTACATGGTGGGAGTTTCTCTCATCTTTCTCCCGGAACTGCTGCCCACACTTCTGAATGGATTCTTTTTGTCATAGATACAGACACAAATTTGATGCTTACATAAAGGACAGATTCCCATGTGGCAGAAACTCAAAGAACAAGGACCCTGAGTTCCTGTTTAATTGCTTTCACGAGTCAATCTCTATCATCAACAGGATAACAAAACTGTAATGTTTGAAAAAATAGTTGAAAGATGGATAATATCCTCTCTGATTTTTCTTCACATTCATATTTGTGGCAACATTAATATTCACCACAAAGAGTTGTTACTCCACTTGCATAAAACTGATGAAGAAGGTAGATACTGCTGAGACTTATCCATTGCTTACAAACTGATACGGGTCGTTGATAAGCCTACTCCTATTCCCAATATAACAAGTTCATCGAACTAACCTCCTAGACCTCTTTCTCACATCCCACCCTGAAAAATGCTCTGCTGAAGTGTTAACTTCCCTGGGACAATTTACGGATCAGTGCTAAACAAAAGGCATCCCCAGATACACAGTTTCATAAAAAAAATTTTACATCTTACATGGTGGAAGCTCCTTTCTCAGTATTCTTCCAGAACTGTTACCCTCATCTCTAAGTCTTAAACTCAAGAAAAAAATTCCCCCAAAATATGAATAGCCAACCCTGGTTCACTCCTAAATGTGCTTCGTCCATAGATCACCATAATGACCACTACAATATTATAGGGAAGAGTGTTATAGGACCTTTGCTGCATTTAGAATTGTCCACAATGATTGCTAGAAAATGCAAAATTCTTAAAGCAGTCTAGTCTAAGGTAGAAAACAAATTGGATTTGAGGAGTTCTGGAAAAATCTCTAACCAAATTCAATAAAGGCAATATGTCACTGCCTCTTATGGTCTTGAGGTTATCTCATCCACATCAGATAAGGCAAATCTCATCATGTTCTTTGCCTCTAACTTTATGTTAGACGAAAAAGGTCATCCCCTTCCTGAAGTACCCCCCTCTTATGGAGCACAAACTTAGTAATCCTTCTATCAGAGCTTGGAAATCTCAAGACTTATCAAATGGTTTAGCCTAAGAAGGTTATCAGTTCAGATAAAATCCCAGTGGTTGGCCTTAAGAATATTAATGCTGAGTTGTACTCAATTTTAACAAAATTGTTTAAGCACTGCCCGATGGAAAACTCCTTCCCAAGTCAGTGGACAATATTAAGTGTATTCCAAGTTTTCAAGAATGCTTATGCCTGTCTTAGGCCTATCAGCCTCCTTAGTATCATTAGCAAACTCTTTGAGGCTATAATCAAAAAGATGGTTGTCACCTTAATAGAGACAATTTCTTAAGTAACAAACAATACAGATACCAATCAGTTCAATCCATTCCTGATATCCTGTCATTTGTCACAGAATCAGCAAGGCACTAGACAATAAATACATCTCAAGAACGATTGCATTATATATCTTGAAGGCCTTTGACAAAGTGTGGCATAGAGGGTTCCTACACAAGATCTCCAGTGATGGCATTACTGGAAGTGTCTTCTTAGTCCTTCCTAATAGTAAATTCCATGAAGGTAGTTGTTAATGGCCAGTCCTCCAAAGCCCATAAGATCAATGCAGACATCCTTCAAGGCTTGCTTCTCGATTCACCTCTCTTTCTGCTTTCTGTTAATGATCTGCCTAAAAGTATACTCGGATCTTTTGTGGGTGTCTGTGCGGGTGAAACACCAGTATATGGATGCACCTTCTAAAATCAAGATGACTAGGGACATTGTAGCTGATCTCTCTTCTGACCTCTCTTCTGACCTAATTCAATAGGGGAAAAAATGGCTGGTTACATTCAGTACATCATAAATGAAGCTAATAATACTCCATTCTCACCGAGCAGACCCCGGATTTCTATTTATCCCAATGAACAGGTGTTCTCTCAAGGAGTTCCCTTGTCTTGAATGCTTATTGGAACTTGAGGTTAACACAGACCTTATGGAACTTATACCGGGTGTAACAGCAAAATTTTCCAAATCCTTATCTGTCTATATTTCTGAGATGAGGTATTATGTACACTATTTACATTATTCGGGCTACTGTTCTCATCTTTGTTGCCATATTTATTACAACGTTTCGGCTCTTCAGTATCTGTCTATATTTCTGAGATAAGGTATTATGTACACTATTTACATTATTCGGGCTACTGTTCTCATCTTTGTTGCCATATTTATCACAACGTTTCGGCCTTTCAGTATCTGTCTATATTTCTGAGATGAGGTATTATGTACACTATTTACATTATTCGGACTATTGTCCTCATCTTTGTCGCCATATTTATCACAACGTTTGGCCTTTCAGTATCTGTCTATATTTCTGAGATGAGGTATTATGTACACTATTTACATTATTCGGACTATTGTCCTCATCTTTGTCGCCATATTTATCACAACGTTTGCCTTTCAGTATCTGTCTATATTTCTGAGATGAGGTATTATGTACACTATTTTTTACATTATTCGGGCTACTGTTCTCATCTTTGTTGCCATATTTATTACAACGTTTGACCTTTCAGTATCTGTCTATATTTCTGAGATAATGTATTATGTACACTATTTACATTATTCGGGCTACTGTTCTCATCTTTGTTGCCATATTTATTACAACGTTTCGGCCTTTCAGTATCTGTCTATATTTCTGAGATGAGGTATTATGTACACTATTTACATTATTCGGACTATTGTCCTCATCTTTGTTGCCATATTTATCCTATTTTGGCCTTTCAGTATCTGTCTATATTTCTGAGATGAGGTATTATGTACACTATTTACATTATTCGGGCTACTGTTCTCATCTTTGTTGCCATATTTATTACAACGTTTAACCTTTCAGTATCTGTCTATATTTCTGAGATAAGGTATTATGTACACTATTTACATTATTAGGGCTACTGTTCTCATCTTTGTTGCCATATTTATTACAACGTTTGACCTTTCAGTATCTGTCTATATTTCTGAGATAAGGTATTATGTACACTATTTACATTATTGGGCTACTGTTCTCATCTTTGTTGCCATATTTATTACAACGTTTCGGCCTTTCAGTATCTGTCTATATTTCTGAGATGAGGTATTATGTACACTATTTACATTATTCAGACTATTGTCCTCATCTTTATCGCCATATTTATCACAACGTTTTGACCTTTCAGTATCTGTCTATATTTCTGAGATGAGGTATTATGTACACTATTTACATTATTGGGACTATTGTCCTCATCTTTGTCGCCATATTTATCACAACGTTTCCTTTTCAGTATCTGTCTATATTTCTGAGATGAGTATTATGTACACT